ATTTATTTATACATTTTAAGCATCTTAAAATATGTCAGGCCCTAGGTTGGGCTCTGGAGACGAAGTCAGTAAATATCAGAGCCTTCTAGTACCCAAGGCATCCTTGTGTAGTCATGCTGGATTGTGCCCCTTGGTTTTGGATCAGCTGTTACTGTCTTCTCTCGTGTTAGAGAGGCATATTCTTCAAAATATTCTAGGAAAAGAAAGAGGCAAGATAAATATGAGTCAGTATCACCTGAAGATCTTTTCTTTATCCTTCCTTGATGGATAGTTTAGCTGGGGAGGAAAATGTTCATTGAGGATGATACTCACTTTCCCTGCTTTTGAAAACGTTGTTCCAGTAGTAGTATCTACATCTAGTAGCATTCTAGCTCTTGATTATTTGAATGTGTATGTCCTTTCCACTTGGATTTTTTAAAAAGTTCTTAAACTGTGTGTGTTGGGCGCGGGGGGGGGGGGTGCAATATTCTTATGGATGTCAGAAGACAGCTTTGTGGGGTTGGTTCTCTCCTCTTCTGCCTCAGCATGGGATCCAGAGGTCAGACTCGGGTCGTCAGGCTCACCTGGCACGTACTTCACACTGACCACCTCACCAGATCCCTCTTGAGATGTTTTTAGTTGTTTTGTCCTTGGCATTCTAACTTGCATTCCTTATGCCAAGTACTTAGGACCTGACCAGATGCTCAGGTCCCAGAATTCTGACTCCATTTCCATGTTATCTCTCTAGAATGATTATTTCGTTGTTATCTCAGGATCCCTGGGGGATTCTTCACTATCTTGAACACTATTCCCCTTTTTATCTATTGTAGGCTTAATTTTAAGGCCTTTTCTCTGTCTTCCCTTTCTGTATTAAACTTCTCAGGATGGACTTAGGTTGTTATAGCTTTTCTTTTATTTGCTGTACTGTTTGTTTCTGTCTGTCCCAGTGGAGTCCTTCTCTAGCTGCCCAGTGGTCCTTAGCTGATGATCCTGTTTTCTTTGTTTGTTTGTTTGTTTGTTTTTGTTTGTTTTAAAATTAAAAAAAACCAAATCATAGTTTTTACTTATTCACACTGGGGTTATAAACACAAAAAGGCAGGACGTGGGGAAGCGGATGACACTGGAGTGTGGGTGTTCAGGGGAGTACAGGTATCTTTCAGAATATGGTATCAGCTGGGTAGAGGTTCAGGGGACAGGTCACTATGACTCTGCCTATGATTCACTTGTCCTTATCTAAGTTGGTATTGTCTGCCAAGACTATCTATTTACAAGGTCTATGACTACTCAGGCTGGTAAATTTCCACAAAAGCTGCCTGTTTATAATAGCTTATAGCCATCTGTTTCAATGTTTTCCCACAGAGAGAGACCCAAGACTTGGTGTTAGTACACGTGTATGATAGGCCTATTGCTGATTTTAGGCCTATGGTTGATTTTAGGCCTTCAGTGTATAAGCAGGGCTGCCCCTGACATCTTCTCCCTTCTCTAAGTATAGAAGGGCTGTGGTGATTCTAATCTTTCGAAGGCAGGGATAGAGGTCTGACCTCCACTAATTGAAGGGAACTTTGTAATGGTTCTGGGATGATCCTGTTTTTAAAGAGTGAATCATGGGGCTGCAGAGATGATTCAGTGGCTAAGAGTAGTGGCTGTTCTTCCAGAGGTCCTGAGTTCAATGACCAGCAACCAGTGGCTCACAACTGTCTAAAATGGGCATGCAAGGGTATATATACATAGAGCACATGCCCCCCCCCCCAACACACACAGAGGCTCTTTGAGGGGTGAGGAACTGGGCCTGTGCTAGATGGCAGGGACAGTGGAGGAGTGGGGTTCTACTACAGTTCAGAGGCTCATTGCACTCTGCTGTCGGCCTCACACCTTACTCCTCCTTAGGCACTCAGTTACTTTTATGGTTTTGGTTGTGAGATTGCTGTGGCTGCACACATGAAAGTCACAGTTGGCTTCTGTCCTCCTGATTAGATGGACTCTTTTTAAATGCTCTCTTATTTTCTTTTAACTTCCATTTCATTTCATTTATCTATATTTTTATTTTGAGACAGGATCTGATTATATCTCTGTTGTCCCGGAACTCACTATTTAGACCAGGCTGGTTTTGAATGTACAGAGATCTATCTGCCCCTGCCTTCCAGGTGCTGGGATTAAAGATGTGTGACACCACACCTGGCTGTCTGTTTTTTTTTTAAAGAAGCTCTATTGTTGTTGTTGTTGTTGTTCAAAACAACAAAGTACCTCACCTGCAGAGCTTTCCTCTACAGACCCAAAGCTGCAGCTCTCATAATTTTGGGCAGGGCCCCTAGCCCTTGGGGCCATTCATTGGCTAATGTCTTGTTGAAATGTTATGTTAAGTCGTTCTGATCTCAGTGTTCCTACTGACTGGGTAAGTCTAGACCTTCTGTGTGCTACCCCTATCTAGAAAAGCTTCTCATTTTCAGTTTTGTGTTTAGAGTTATTGGTTGTTTGAGGAGATGTAAGGATGGAGTGACATTTATGCAATTCTAAGCTAGAATCTTTTCTTTCCTTAACAGATGCAGCAGCTTTTTTACGAGAATTATGAACAGAACAAGAAAGGGTACATTAGAGACCTCCATAGCAGTAAAATCCACCGAGCGATCACCTTACACCCCAACAAAAACCCACCCTACCAGTACAGGCTACACAGTTACATGCTCAGCCGCAAGATCGCTGAGCTGCGCCATCGCACAATCCAGCTCCACCGGGAAATCGTCCTGATGAGCAAGTACAGCAGCACAGAAATCCATAAGGAAGACCTCCAGCTGGGCATCCCACCCTCCTTTATGCGCTTTCAAGCCCACCAGCGAGAGGAGATCCTGGAATGGGAGTTTCTGACTGGGAAATACTTATACTCAGCCACTGATGGCCAGCCTCCCCGGAGAGGGATGGACTCGGCGCAGAGGGAGGCCTTGGATGACATTGTCATGCAAGTGATGGAGATGATCAATGCCAATGCCAAGACCCGGGGCCGCATCATCGACTTCAAGGAGATCCAGTATGGTTACAGACGTGTGAACCCCATGTACGGGGCTGAGTACATTCTGGATCTGCTGCTCCTGTATAAGAAGCACAAAGGGAAGAAGATGACGGTCCCCGTGAGGAGGCATGCGTACCTGCAGCAGACCTTCAGCAAGGTCCAGTTTGTGGAGCACGAGGAGCTGGATGCCCAAGAGCTGGCAGACAGGATCAACCAGGACTCTGGATCCCTGTCGTTCCTGTCTAATTCCCTGAAGAAGCTTGTTCCCTTCCAGCTTCCGGGATCCAAGATGGAGCACAAAGAGCCCAAAGAAAAGAAGATAAACATTCTGATCCCTTTGTCTGGGCGCTTCGACATGTTTGTGAGGTTCATGGGGAACTTTGAGAAGACATGTCTCATTCCAAGTCTGAACGTGAAGCTGGTCATTCTGCTTTTCAATTCTGACTCTAACCCTGACAAAGCCAAGCAGGTTGAACTGATGCGAGATTACCGAGTCAAGTACCCGAAGGCTGACATGCAGGTTCTGCCTGTGTCAGGAGAGTTCTCAAGAGCACTGGCCCTAGAAGTAGGCTCTTCCCAGTTTAATAATGAGTCTTTACTCTTCTTCTGTGATGTGGACCTGGTGTTTACAGCGGAGTTCCTACAGAGGTGCCGAGCCAACACAGTGCTGGGGCAGCAGATCTATTTCCCAATCATCTTTAGCCAGTATGATCCAAAGATTGTTTATAGTGGGAAGGTTCCCAGTGACAACCATTTTGCCTTTACTCAAAAAACTGGCTTCTGGAGAAACTATGGGTTTGGCATTACTTGTATTTATAAGGGAGATCTTGTCAGAGTGGGTGGCTTCGATGTCTCCATCCAAGGCTGGGGGCTGGAGGATGTAGACCTCTTTAACAAGGTTGTCCAGGCAGGGTTGAAGACATTCAGGAGCCAGGAGGTTGGAGTCGTTCACATCCACCACCCAGTCTTCTGTGACCCTAATCTGGATCCCAAACAGTATAAAATGTGCTTGGGGTCGAAAGCGTCAACATTTGGGTCCACACAACAGTTGGCTGAAATGTGGCTAGAAAAGAATGACCCCAGTTACAGCAGAGGCGGCAGCAACGGCTCTGCCAGGACAGCCTGACTCCAGCCCCACTGCGAAGGACGCTTTTAATTGCCTAATTTATTTTTAAAAACTTTTTTGTATAATCAGTTTTTGAAGTCCATACAAGGATATATTTTCCAAGTGGTTTTCTTACACAGGACTCCTTTAAGATTGAGCTTTTTGAACAAAAATGTGATCAATATTTGCCTTTGAACACACCTTGCTGAACACTATGTAGCACTTGCTTAATCCTGACTTGAAGCACACCCGATGAACAAAACTTTTATATGAAAATTTTTTGGTTTTTGGTTTTTACATTTCTTTTTCAGACTACGTCCCTTTCTCTGTTGTCCAAAGGGAGGAAAAGAGAACATTCCTAAGAAGTATTATCATCGTGATAAGAACACTGTAACCCTGGCCGATGTTCTGTTGAGACTGTTAACCTGACTCTGGTAAACATTCTGCTGTGACTGTTAACCTGTTACCTTTGCACAAATTCCACCTTTTTCCTTTTTTTTTCTCCATCAGTTTTTTTTTTTTTAAAGCCATCTTGAGTTCCAGTCACAAAGTAAGGAGACATGATAGTAGTTCTGTCATCACTCTCCCCAGGACAGCTTTACAAATTTTTATCCCCACTGTGTTCCACCCACTGCGGTCACACAGGCTATTCCAAGCGGGTGATGGAGGGAAGCACAGATGTACTGACCCCACTGAAATCCCGCGGCCTAAAGGGACCTGGCACTGAAGTCCAAGAAGGACTTGTCATTTTCTCTGCCCTGACCTTTCTCTTTAGAGGGTACAGTATTATTTAAGGTGACAGAATGGCTGTTAGCACTGTAACAAATGCAAGCTAAACAGACAAACCCCTGATGGAATGTGAGGGAAGCTGGGGCTTTGCGCTCTGTCCTGGGCTGTGGATGGAGACGACTGCTTCATTTTTTAATACTGGTCTTTCTATCTTGTTATCTGAAATACCTTTAATTTATTTAATACCCATTGTTTAGATCTCTGCCTTTTTGAGTACTTGTCAGTTACTAGTATTTATGTGTACCATGAGTGTGGTTAGAATGTTTTATTTGCAGTAAACTGATCTCCAAAGATTTCCTTTTGAAAACACTTTTTCTTCATCCTTAATTTTTACATTCCCGTCTTACTAAAGATTAAGTGTTCTTTGATAATTTTGGTGCTCATGTGTTTTGGGGACAAAGGTGAAATGAGTTTGTTGTTATACCAGAGTGTTTTGTTTTCAACTCACAGATCCAATGTGCCTTAATAATTTGTTTTCATTTAGAGTTCAGACAGTTGATAGATTTGCCATTTTTAATATACATTGTTGGAGATCTGCTTATTTGTAAATAGCCTATTGCACATTCGAACAAATAAACCAGTGGACAGTATTTTTCTATTGTACTTTGCAGACCCGTTTTGTCTCATTATTTTTGTGTTGGTTGAAGACTTGAGTTACATTTGGAGAGTAAAACACTGAGGCACAGACTTCCGGCCTTTGCAGTTCCTGAGTCAGTGCTTCTGGGACTGTACGGGGGAGTGGCGTGGAGTGGACTCCTCAGGGAGGGGCTGCTGAGTCCTGTGTGAAGACCGGAGGGCTTCAGAGCAGGCCAAGGCCCCTGTCTGGCTCCTGGCTACAGATGCACTTTCATCAGCCCAGGGGATCACCTGCTAAGCAGTATCCCATGTAAAACCAGCAACACTAATGGCTTAGGGTTTTAGGCTCAGGCTAGCCAGATAAAAACTTGCACATCAGTTGCTATAGAATTCAGAAGTCAAAAAGTGACCTCTGGTGCTGTTAGCAAGGTTCTGTAGATGACAGTTACACCCTGAGAGAGGCATCCACAGTGTGAAGACACTTAAGTCCAGAATAATGACATCATGCTCACAGAATTGCTGTAATCTGCCTAGTTGCCATTCAGTCTGTGCAGGTTGCTGGGTTTGCTTGTCTTATTCTCATGGAGGAAACCAGAGCCATCTATACTCTCCAGTGAGAAAGAGCATCACCTACAGCTTGAGGTAGCTGCACATCATCTGTGCACTGGTGTTCTCACACCTCAGCGTATGCCTTGGGGCAGGGGACAAACAGAGCAGAGTGCCCCCTTGTCAGACTTGCTCCTTCCTCCTCTACCCCCACTCTACTACACTTCTTAGTGACATTGGTCTCCCCTGCTCCCCAGCTATCTTTCAGAATGCTGTTGGCCCCTTTCCCAGTGCCATACCTTTGCTAAAACCTGTGGTATCTGCTGTCCCCCAAGTTCAGCTCTTGTCCCACCACTCCGTGATGTCTCCAGAAGTATTTTCATTAATTCCTCCTGTCCCAGGCCCTCAGTGGGCACACTGCCTAGTGACCTACTCAGGACACCTCCTGTAGCCACACCAGCTCTGTCTCAGCATTGTGGGCTGGTAGGCTCTGCCACTCTGAAACACCCTAGTATCTACACAAATGCCTTCGTCCCTTCCATCCGAGCAGATGTGACTAGCTGGACTCAACCCTTTTCTCAGGTCATTTCTCTGTCATTAGAGCTCCTGGAAGTTATACCTGGGCTTCTCGGTGTTGCTGGTTCCCTGGAGTTTTGGGAACTGTGCCTCCTAGTCTTCCCAACAGAATTCCCACCAAATCCTATAGTCATTGCATGTGCTGAGGCATGCTACCCTCACCATGGACCCAGAAATATTACCCTGGAGCCCGAGGAAAGCTTAGTTCATGCCTTTGTTTCTCACTTGCCAATACTTTGTTCTATTTGGCTTGCTTTGAGACAAGATCCCACTGTATGACTGACTTGAAACTCACTCTGTAGACCAGGCTGGCCTCAATTCAGAGATCGCCTATCTCTGCCTCCTGAGAGCTGGGATTAAAGGCATGTGCCAGCAAGCCTAGCTGTGTTACCTTATTTTTAATAAAATGTAAAAATGTATCAAGAGATTAGAATGGCCTATATATACTAGGCACATTTTTAAATTTTTGGTAATTTTTTAAAATTAAGAATGTGGGTGGAGTTAAGGTGCAGGGAAGAGATCATTGTGCAGGAAGGCATGCAGATGGAAGCTTCTCTCCCCATCCACCCACCCACCCATCCACCCATCTGTCCATCCATCCACCCATCTGTCCATCCATCCACCCATCCGTCCATCTATCCACCCATCCATCCACCCATCCGTCCATCCATCCACCCATCTGTCCATCCATCCACCCATCCATCCATCCACCCATCCGTCCATCCATCCACCCATCTGTCCATCCATCTACCCATCCATCCATCCACCCATCCATCCATCCACCCATCTGTCCA